CTTCAGCCTCACGGTGTAATTTCCTTTCCTGTCTCCCTCTTCTCTCTTTCTCTCTCTCTTTCTCTCTCTCTTTCTCTCTCTCTTTCTCTCTCTCTTTCTCTCTCTCTTTCTCTAACCTTTTTGTTCAGGGGATGGAGGAGGAGAACTTTGAAATATGTAATACTGCGTCAAACCCTTTCGTTATCTTGAATACAACTGAAATGTACACGGAAAGGTTTTATTCTTTTTCTTCTTCTTCTTCTTCTCGTAGATTGGCATTATTTCCCTCCTCACTTTTATTTTTGTTTCCCTTTGATCGGGGAAGGTTAGTGAGGAAGTGTTGTGCAGAGTAGACAACGGGTGGATTCCTGCGTTGTGTGTATACAATATGCTGTTTGAAAATAAGGTGGTGGTTGAGAAAAACACGACCGGGGGAGGGGATTACGGAGTTTTCAAAACAGGGTTGTGTGTTGTGTAACGAGTTTCAGCTTTATTCTTGGTGGGTATGTATTTCGGAGTTGGATGGGTGGTTAAATCGAGCATGTCCCCATTTTGTTTACACGTAGATGCTCTACCGGGATATCAGGGAGGTAGGTAGTAAGGGATAACAAAGAAAAGGCATGACTGAGTATAAATTTCGAGATAATGACAATGTGAAAGGGAGCGGTTGTAGGGAAATCCTTTCCGGGCTTGGGTTGCCTGGGAGGTGTTTGGGGAAAAGGTAGTGAGGCATAGCGATGAAAAAAAAAATTTATGCAAAAAAAAAAGATAGAAAGGATTCTGTGGGGTAACAGTGTACAAGTCTAGGTTGGAAAAAGGTAATGATGTTGGAAATACCTGTGTGTGGGACTGGAGCACAGCGTAGCAGTGGCGCTGTGAATCTGCACGAGGGTGCGTACGAACGCTGCTGAGGATCTGAGAAGGATTGAAATCGTTGCGGTTGGGGCATATGTGGTTTTCCCCCATGGCAGTGGTCTGGCAGATGTGGTGATGTGTTGGATGTATGCTAATTATGCAATGCATTTGTTCAACATGTGCAGCATCTTTTCTTTCAAACTCTGTTTTTGATGTGTTTACTGGACATGACTCGTCTCTCTGTAAACGAAGGACATGGCTGGTATTCTTCCTTGCTTCGTCTTGTAGCCACTTGAAACCATCGCACGATGCTTGGAAATTAGGTGCTACAGACTAAAAGGCAGTTGTCAAGGGCATAAGATACCACTTCTAAACTCTACAAGGTTCTAGAATGTGGTATGTAGTGGCCGTAAGAGGTGGATGTTGTTTTTTCCCTTGGGGGTTGTCCGCTTGAATTTTATTGTAGGAGCGAAGGATCTGCGACGGGAGTTTGGAACCGGGGTTGCCAGGATTATATAACGCGCCTGGTGTATGACTTTACGGGTAGGGCCGAGCTATGTCCGGCAGTCTTTCTGTTTGACAAGCTATTTGGAGTCTTGGACGGCCTACATGCAACCTCGGCCTGTTTTGCGGGATGTTTTCTAGATTCAATGTTTCGTCGTGTTGCTGCTGTTAGTTGTAGCACTCGGGTTGGAGGATTCATGGTGTGTTTGGTCACGTGCGAGGAAACCGCCAAAGCGCTGAGACGGAACAGCACGTGACCCTGAAGACGTCACCGAATACACGGCAATGGCAAGAACAAAACCCGCGATGAACGCTGTGCCAGCAGCTGTCCAGATCAGACTTCACGACTACACCAGTCCCGACCTTACTTACTCGTGCCCAGACGTCGCATGGCTTCGCAGGTCAAACCGACCGTGTGGAGAGTTTCGCACCAGCACTTGGCCTCAGGCAATCAGCAAGCGTCCCCAGGCAAGGCTGTTTGGTCCCTGAGTAGATGGCAAGACTGGGGGCGACAAAGTTAGCGAGCCGCTGTCATGATCGCCATCTTCGGCAACGTTTCCGGCTTTTTGTCAATGCCAACCAGTATTTTCGCTCTTGGCTCCTGGGCTGCCGAGCCACAGCCTGGCAGCGTTGGAGCGTGGGAGCCTGCCACTTCTCAGCCTCTGCTAGGAGTTGATGTCTCAGGACCCTGGCGCGAAACAGTAGGCCAACTTTCATAGTCCAAGTTGTGTACTGGCAAAGTACCTTCACCTGGATCATTTTCATACGAGGGTCTGGACAAAGGCCGAGTGCCTGGCCTCGCAGCCAATGGCCCTGGACGAGAAAGCGACGCTGCGGTTCGCAGATGGGAGCCCCACCCAACCTTGTCGAGTTCCTGGCACACGTACTCGCTTGCCAAGGGCAGTGCCATGATCCGGATGTCGTCTGTCCCGCAACCAAAAGAAAAGTCGCCCAGTGCAAGCAGCGTCCATGACTGAGGTTTTCGTCTTCAGCACTGCCTGGGCCTCGCTGCATTGTCGCGACGGATGCAAACGGGCGCTACGTGCACTAAAGGTGCTGATTGATTTCAGCTCTTGGCCCCCACTTGCATACTACAGTAAGCTGGACGACGCCGGCCCAAAATTAGACTGGTCCACTGCGGGGACCAGCCGCCCTACGAGCACATGGCTTGTCAGTGCTGGCTTGGGCTCACCGTGTTTCGAGCAAGTCAGTGTGGCATACAAAGCGACCGTCTGCTGTCTGGAGGCGCGACAAGACCAGACCAGAGTACAGCGCAGACCAGCCCTGACTGACATCACGCCCATCACGTGCATGACGTGTTTCGCCTCGCAGATCTTGGGCTGTGTGAAATTACTACTACGCCGCTAGTAGACCGTCGCCTACTTCCACAAGCAAGCACACCGTCCGTCAGCAAGACGCTTATTACCCACCATCTCAGCCCCTCGCCAGGCGCCCATCCTCCTCGCTCGAGTCGCATCAGCCGGCTCTTTTGCAGACCACACCCCCTTCTCGCTCACATACTCACACACTCTCACACGCACACACACTTTTCAGAGGGTCAGACATTGATACCCGACAATGAATATGATGCGCAAGAGGACGACGTATGTGCACATTACGCCCATTCCCTCCTTCATACCACGTCAGCTCGCCATCGACTTCCTCCACAACCATGGCGAGATCATCGAGCTGAACCCGCTCGTCACCGGCCATGAGCCCATCAAAGCACCCCGTGATGCGCCCGCTGACGAGTTCTACTCGACATGGTACGAGATCTCGCAGCGCATCCAGTACATACCCGGCATTGGCAAAATGGGCAGTGGCGCAATCAAGTTCCGCGGCGTTTTCCACGACCTCCCCTTTGGCCTCCAAACACACACCTATGCGCCTGCAAACGTGGACCTACGCAACAAATGGCAAATTTGCGGAAACCAACCCGGCGAACCACCCGAGCCAAAGGAGCTGGGCTCTGGTGCCCCACCCGAGGGCTTGTACATCAGGGAAGATGTCGAGATCAAGTGCAATGTCGCCATGATCAGTTTTGTAAAGAAGGAGATGCAGGCCGCGGCAAAGGTCATGGTAGATCGGTTGGTCAAGAAGGCCGAATTACTCGACTCGGGTGCGCTGCATGCCCTGATGGAGAATGGCCGACTGAAGACGGTCAACCCAGCCGATCGTTCAACCCACGATCACAGGTCACCACATTCATCACCATCACAAGTATACTCGGCACCTCTGTCGCCCCGCCTGTCGCCAAATTTCCCCCACCGGCAAAGCCTGAGCTATGCGCAGCCCGACAACCAACACGCTCCTCCCATCCCACCAAAGGAACTCCTTGGCCAGAACAATGTAGTCATGGAACTGCCAGGCGATTTCTACTATCCCAACCCTCCTGTATCCCAAACACCAATCAATGACAAACGTGCCTCTTACGCTTCTGAACCCTCGCAATCCTCTCCTAAATTCCAAGACGCCCGCTGGTCGACCACGTCACACAGCACAATATCCTCGCGACCAACCTCTTATGCTACATCGGATGGCATGCGATCCCCCGGACTCGAGGGGAAAGCATTTGCATCGGAGTTGCCGACTATGGAAGAGACTAGGGAAGAGCACGAGTCAAGGCAAAAGAGAGATAGCATTCAGAAGGGGCAACAGCCCCACTATGCATATAACCCTCAGGACTTTGCAAGGACGCAACATCAATATGCACAGGGACCACCATACCCTGGTTATTAATGACTTTTTGTCGTTCCCGGGGTTCCTGTATAGATGGATGAAAAAAAAAGTACCATCAACAAAGAGGAGAAATGGTTAAATTTTGGGTGTTTTAGGGGGGGCCAGGGCATTGGAATGAGTACACAAAGACGCGCTTTACGACCGGGGGGTTTTTTTTTCACGATTCACACAAATTGCGTTTTTTTTTTGGTTAGATATCCCCCTCCCTTGTAGTTTTTGCAACATACGTAATGGTATTTCCTTGTAATGAAAATAAATTCTATCTCTTGAACAAAAAAAAACCTATTGTTCTTCGTTTTCTACGTAGCAGCGACAACAACAACATCCAACGCGCGTTTCCCCTGATCTTTCCTCACCTCCACCCACCCATCCTCGTCAACCCTCACAATCTTGCCATCGACACAAATGCGCCTCCACCTCGCATCCTTCTCGAGCCCCTCGAACCGAATGCGCAACCCATCAATACTTTCATACCTCACAGCTGCATCATGGACGTGCTTGCCCCCTTGATACGCCAACCCCATGATGCGCATGGCCTCATCTGCACTCTTCGGGCCGAAATGCACAAGCCGTACGCTCCCGTCTAGCGGGGCCGAGGCCGGGGAGATGCAAAACGGGCGTTCGAGATGCGAGACGAGGGTTGCCAAGACGTACATGTGCTCCGTAGTCTCGAGCTCTACCCATTTTTCCTCGCCGTTTTGTGGTGACGGGAGGAGGCGTGAGATGCGTGCCTTGTAGGCGTGAGGCGGACCGCCGTCAGCGGGATACAGAGCTTCTTTGGCGGCCATTTGGAAGCGCTCGACGCCGTATTGGCGGTAGTGTGCGGTGTCGCTGTCTGCGACGAGAGAGGCGTGCATGCCCCAGCTTGCCACGACTGCGCCGTGGAGAAGGCCCTCTCCCTTTTCGTTTTTGGGGAGTGCTTCCTCGGCACGGGCTTCGTCGACGAGGAGGCGCGCGCCTGGGGAAAAAGTTGCTGTGAAGACTGGGAGCGGCGCCGAGTGTGGGGATGCGAGGGCGGCGAGGCCCCAGTTTGAGGGCTGCTGCTGCTTGGTGTTGATGGAGTGGTAGAGGGCATTTGCGGTGCCGAGGGGGAGGAGGACGACTTGTGGGGAGGCGTAGGTTGTGCTTTGGGGAGGGGAGAGGAGGCCATTTACTAGGTCGACTATGCCGCCATCGCCTGAGAGGAGGATGATGCGGAGGGGGGTCCCGTTGTTTGCCGAGGGAAACAAGATGTTGCTTGTATAGTCTGAGATGCTGGTTGCTGAGGTTGTTGTGTGAACTTTGATCTTGGCTACGCCATCTTCGCCGTGAATGGCGGTTAGAATCGGTTTGACCACGCTGTTGAAGAAGTTTTCTGCCTGGCGGGCACCAGATCCTAAGGAGATGATAACGTGGGTTTCGCGTTGGGTGAGTGGTGTGTTTGTACTATCTGGCGGGTCGAGAGCTCGTTTGGTGATGTCGAGTAGCAGGGGCGGTTTGGTGGCATCTTCATTTTCTTGTAAAGTAACGGTGGCTTGGGATGTACCATCTGCAGTTGGTAGATCAAAGACAACCTTCCTAGGCTGTGGCGCCTCCGCCTCACTGACCGTTGCCATGGCTGGGGTGTTAATGGATGGGGTTGACTGAGGGGTGGGGAGCTATAAGATGATATCATCGCGGGGTTGCTTGTTAATCAGTTCATTGCCGGCTATAGTAACGACATGATGAATATAATTGCGACATTATGTTCACAGTACCTGCCCCGTATCCATGCTCCCCCCAGGGCTTTGGTTGCACGAAGAATTAGAATTTACATACTAGTAGCTCCAAACTCTACTGCCACTTGCTCTCCCACTCTTTACCTAGTTGACAGGGATCTCCGTGTTACGTTAGCGCGATTCTCACGCGACATCTACTTACCATACGCACCCTTGCTACATAGAACGAGTAGTACAGTCAGACTAAATAGCCTTTGCAGCTAAAGCGCAAATCTAAGCACTTTCTTCCAGACAAGAGTCATAGGTGGGCTTGTAATGCACCATCAATTAAGCCTTATTACGGGAGGTAAGATGTCTCTTAATATGTGGATATTCCGCCCCGCAGCGCCAACGTAGTTCATGTCCATTATCAACAAAGGTCAGCACTAATCTTCACTACAGAGTTCAGTGTCTTGACTCGTATTCGTTGTAATCATTTTCTTGGCACTGCTGTGTTGTCCATTTCTAGTGGACCCGCTTTGGTATGTATCATGGAAATGTAGATATGGCCTCAACAACTTGAAATAAATCTTTACGAGTTGAAATGCATCATTGGAATGTGTCAAGATTGGTAACCACGACATCATTAAACATCATCTGTCGCGTTTCCTCTTGCATAAGAGCGCTTGGATCTCACAATCCCAACTTGAATATGTACATTCTAACCGGATTACAAATATATACATGTGCCGTGTCTAAGAGCTGACCTTGGAGCCCACTGTGAAACCTCCCTCGGGGAAGGGCACAATGTTCTGCTCAGTTGTGTATTTTGCTTTGCCCATTGTGATGGTCCTGTGGGTCTGGTCGAAGATTGCGTAAATTGCACGAATAAAGGGGTCTGCGAGTACGCCAATATCGGTTTCCGAGCGAGGCTCCATGTAGACGCCACACGTGCTATTAGCAAACAGAGAGATAATTTCGTGCAGCGGAACGTCAATCTTGCCACTAGCGCCGAATTCGACAGAGATGTAGCCCTTGGCATTGTTGGGGTCCCGGTACTTGCAGTCAACAGAGGTCACCTGTTTTCCAGGTTGGAAGGCGGTAATACCCAATCCGTAGGAGACGGCGCCGAAAATGGTATCAGTCACGTACCAGGTTGCAATGCCCGTGTCGAGCAAGATGGGGACACCAACACCCTTATCTCCAAAGGTTTGTGACGTGCGGTTGCCGCCGTCAAGTACAACTTCCATTGCAGTGACGTTCACGTAGTTCGTTTGTTCGCCGGTGAGTGTGGAGAATGGATCCACCATCTCCAGCGTGAACATGTCACCGTCCACCTTTGCCTTGTCATAGGCGCCACCAATGATCATCTGGGCATTGGTGACGTTGAATTCATCCGGCCCAAGGTACATACTTGTTGCCATGACGTCAATCAGTGAGGCGTTCTTCAACTCTGGTAGAAAATATGCCCCTTTGGACATGCAGTCAGGCTCCTCCGGATAACATTCGAGAGACAGGCCTAGATTTCGCAATCAAACAGTTAGACTGCAGTCGTGCACGAAGAACACGGGTGTCTTGACATACCCAGAATAGTTTGAATTGGTTCTGGAACTACTTTTCCGGCCGTATAATTGGACGTGTACCCGAAATACATGTTGGGCATGGTGACACCGCCCAGGACCAAGGTGTCACTGAGGTAATCGCCAAATCCTAATGCGTAGAGTTCATCGTAGAAGCCAGGTCCTTCATAACGACAAGTTCTGGAAGATGTAGAATTAGCGCTTGCAATCTTTTTGGGGGCTTCTTTTTTTAATAAAAAAAGAAGCCAAAGATGATTACTTACGAAGAGGTCAAGTTGTCAAAAGTGCCAAAAGTAGTGCATGACGCTGGATCCGAGACACATTCTTGGTTGCGCGGGTTAAGAAAGGAATATCGTGGGCTGCCAGTATCGACTTTGAGGTATTCCTTCTGCGGGGGCGTTCCGACCTGGAACTCTGCGTAGTATGCGTCGAGTTCGGCGTCTCGGATCAGGGGCACAGCAATGGCGCCTGGGGGAAGCTCGGCAGAGACAGCAGGGAGTGCAAGGGCGGCGAGAAGGGCGCGTGAGACCATCTTGGAATCAGGCATGATTGTTGAGTGTGAGAGCAAGATTGCGCAGATGCGGGCAAGGCAAGGGAAGACGGAGCCATGGCAGGTCTTTATGTGAGTACCAGATGCCTGTCTCTCGGCTGACCGACCCAGGGCACTCCTGAGTGTGGGGTGTGGACGGTCGACTGTGATCTCCAGAGCGTATGCACTGCCAAGAGAGTGGCCAAAGCTTATTACAACGCTACATGGTAAGTTGGCTACTGACTGAGTCGGGCCGTGCCGGGAATGTAGCAATACGAGTACGATGGATTTGAGTTTGGCTATGCTGTGTGTGTGGCACGGACCACTGTACCTTGTCTTTGCCGTTGTGCAGGTGTGTACTTATCTTGACGGCTTGTGGGTTTGCGGGGGTCCCGGTTTTTGGAGAACAATATATCGGATGCGTGTTTCATGGATGCCAAAGTGGACGCTGCATCGTGTCAACACGAGCTCCTTCCTCTCCCAGCCCGCTAGCCGAATTATCCCCGGCCAGCCAGTCCGCCATTTCCACCCGACCAACTTGATTGGCGCCATCTTCTCTCCTAGTCCACTTTCACATTAATGCACGCTCTGGATCGGCACCCCATTTCCCACGTCAAGCAAGCTCTTACTTTTTATAGACTACCGGGATGGGCAATGCATACATCGTTTTTGCTATTTCGGTCAACCTCCCCTGTGAACTCATCGTCTTTGCTTCTCAATACGACCTTGTTGACATCATGCCATATACTAGCTTGCACCCAAGTACCGCTAGGGTTGTAGACCGCCTCGACTCCAAATCACTCTTACTTTACCCAATCAACATTTAGCCCAAAGGTCCAGTGTTCGCAGTGTGCCCTGGGCAGAGGTATCCATTGTTGCCGTGTAAGATTGTCGGCCTTACATCTGCTACACATGCTAACGTGAGGTCAGCTCGACAGACAGATAAATGCCTCTACAAAATTAAAGTTTATTCCGCATTATTTGGCTACACAGCATTTGCCGGGTGACACCCTCTTTACTCCACCATCTTCTCTCTACTATTCACACAAACACAATGTCACATTTGCAAAGCATGACAGCCAAGCTCGCACTCGCCATACTCGCCTCTTCTGCCTGCGCTCTTGTACCAGAACCTCGCGGCGCTGCCTATAGTGTCGACGCCGTAGCAGCCGCTCCGCCATCATTTGATTTTGAGGCCGACTTTCGAAAACTTCGCTCAAGGCATCCTACCACGGAAACTGTCGACAAGAGACAAGCCAATGTTGCAGGCCAACAGGAAGGGTCCGTCACTGTAGTGCCCGACGACCCTGGCATCACCTACTTTACCCCTACCATTATTGGAAATCAGACTTTCAACCTGATTTACGATACTGGCTCCGCCGACTTGTGGGTGTTTGGCAACGAGACATCAACTATGCAGGGTCCGGACAAAACCTACTACTTCCCATCGTCGTCTGCACAGCTGTTGCCCAACTATAATTGGACCATCACCTACTCAGGCGGCTCCTCGGCCAATGGCATTGTTTACACGGATGTGGTCAAGGCTGGCCCGGTTGTGGCCGAGAAGCAAGCCGTCGAGGTAGCAACCTATGTCCCCAGCGATATCGACTCGGATGGTATCATGGGTCTTGCGTTCGGCATCATCAACCAGGTAAAGCCTGTGCAACAAAGCACCTTCTTCGAAACCGTCGCACCGACACTGAAGAAAAAAGTCTTTGCAGCAAACTTGAGGCCCGAGGGCAATGGTTCTTGGGACTTTGGCTATCTCGACAAATCCAAATACACTGGCGACATCACATATACGCCTGTGGTCGACAACATGAAGCATTGGACCATAGCAGTTGGAGAGTATGGCGCGGGCAACAAAACCTTTGGACCGGCCATCATCGGTAATACCACTGTCGACTCTGGTTCTCCGCTCATCTACCTCCCTGATCCGGTCGTCGCCAACTACTACAGTCAGGTTCCAGACTACGAGTTGACACTTGGCGGTAGTAATACCTTCCCATGCAACGCCACACTGCCAGATTTCACCTTCAAGATCGAGGACCAGACGCTTTCGGTTCCGGGCAAATACCTCAACTTCGGCGTCTCTGACCCGTTCCAGAACAGGTGTGCGGGAGTCATCGTTGGAAAGAGGACCTTGCGTAATTCTGTCTTCGGCTCCATTTGGATGAAGAACTTTTATGTGGTTCATAGCATCGAGGACAGCGTTCCGAAACTCGGTGTTGCGCGCCAAGTCTAGACGGATCGGATGTGTCGCACCCTAGAAGCACACCAAACTTGTATATATATGTACTGAATATTTTTCGGAGGTTCACGTGACCGCGACGAGCGGATGTCAACATGTACATATTTAGTATTAGTATGCAAACTTAGTAGTTTAATCAGAGGTGATTTTGTCGTAGTAGCTCAAGATAAGCTACTAAGTAAGTTTACCAAACTCGCGCGGAAGTGTAATATTCTTATACCCTGCTTTATTAGTGCAATCCGCATGTGGGCGGCGCAGCGGCAGCGAGGGTTACGTCATCACTTGGCAACGGGCACCAGGAAAGAAGCCTAGAAGTGAAGGGCGGGCAGGCTCAGCCGCGCCAGCTGTCAGCAGCAACCAACAAAGCGACAATTGCGACGTGTCGACCTTGTTGCATACAAACCGCACCTTTTGTCTGCTCCGCACAGGAACCTTGCCGCCGCCTCCGCCGCCTCCGCCAGCCGCCTGTGCTCACATCCACGGCGATACCCAGTCCCGCAGAGGCCGAAAACCCAACTCTACGTCGTGTCTCGCGCACTTGCCATAGCCTCTGCCCACGCGCACATGCGCAGCTAACCACGCCCTCTCCACCCCATAGTTTCGTATTTCCACGCCCGTAATCATGAACGGCTGGCTTGTCTTCGCCATCGTCCTCATACTCCTGCTCTCCGGCACCTACTTTGGCTGGTACTTTTACGCGCGCTGGAATGCCTCGCGCAATGGCCTTCCCCCGCCCTCAATGAACCCCATGGTGGCCTTCAGCAGCTCCAACGCTGAAGCCTCAAACTACCCAGGTCCCGCTCCCACCGGCATCAAGGGCTGGATCGACACCCAAGTCCGCAAGTTCAAGAACCGCAACAACCGCTACACCACCGGCAGCGGCTACGAAGACACGGGCTACGGCTCCCGCGGCGTCGGCGGCGGCCGCGGCGCAGGCAGCCGCCTCGATCCGGACGAAGCGTGGAGTTCGCGCGTGGGCGATGAGGCATACTATGAAGAGCAGGAATTGGGCCTCCACGAACCCCCGCACGCCGCCAATCAGTCTGCCAATCCGTTTGCCGGTGAACCTACCCGTGGCCGCAGTCGCACCCGCGAATCGTACGACGAGCATCTCGATGCTCATAATGCCCGCAATCCCTTTGGCGACGACGCTGCGGCCAGTCTGCGCGGCGTCAGCCCCAGACCCGTCATGGACGCCGATACGGGGTACCATGGTGCTGCAACAGCGGGCAAGTCTAGTGCGGATCCTCATAAGAAGAATGGGAGTCCGGATAGCCATCATGACAAGAGTCCTACGGAGAGTCGGAGGAGTGTGTTCAGGGAAGCAATATAAATTTGTGCGAAAATGAACACGTGGGGAGTTTGATAAACGGACATGGGGAATCTCGGAGGTAGAATCATCGTCTTTTTTTTTGTCTGGTCTTTTTGTCGAGATACCAGGGCTTGGCAGCTGTCAAAAATTGGCATATCCCGACAAGCCTTTGTTGATGAAAGTATATACTTTATACCTATACACATGCCAACCACATTTTTGCGGGGAAACAAAGTTTACATGTGACACATGCATCCACCCGGTCGTTTCTGGGCATTACTCATCTCGAATTTAACATGTGCGGGGGGTTGGGTAGCGCTTCTTTTTTTGCACGGTCCATGGGAGGATCGACACACTACGACGAAACACTCAGGGTCCAGTTTGTAACGGCTTTACTTTCTTACCTACACAGCAGCTCATTTCAAAAGCAGAAAAATAAATGCGAAACCGGCAGTTTGGCAAGGAACGAATGCTACATATACTGCTATGTACATGCCTGATTGACTAAGAGACAGGAAATGAAGGATGGAGAAAAGAAAAAGAAATCTAAATGCGAGAGAGAGAGAAATGAAAACGAGACATCGGGACATCGCGTGACATGCTCATTTCCACCTCGATGCCAGAACTAGACTGTTGTATAATCCACGCACTCCTACTCTTCCATGCCTGGGAGCCTCTCCTCGCGACGGTGGATATCCGGCCATTTCAGGTGTGTTATCGAGGGGGTCCAGATGGGGCGTTTGCCTTTTGCGAAGTCGATGTTGTCTGGTTGTCTCTTTTCCTGGCGGCGGTGGATATTCGATACTCTCATGTGGGTGAGGGAAGGGGTCGAGACGACGTGGGCGAGTTCAGCGGAATAAACTTCTTCGTCCTTGGCTTTTTTCTTTTCTTCCTTGGCTTTCTTTTTCTCTTCTTTTTTACGCTGTTTCTCGTATTTGGCGTAGTCGTCGCCCAGGCCGGGTTCGGATGCTCCAGGGGATTGGCGGGCGAGGATGTGGGGGACTTCGGGGGAGATGATGGGAGGGGCCTCGTAGGTGGCCCAGTCATCGGATGGAATGGAAATTGGTCGGTTGGGTTTCGAAGGACGCAGTGGTTTTGAGATCGAATGACCGTGCTCGAACAACTCTGGCGGAGGTACGGGACTTGCCTCCCGTTTCTGATGCTCCTTGTCGATGGAGTTTACGCTCTTGATCAAGGGAAAGGTCGTGCGTCCATCTGCAAGGTGCATTGGATATCCAAGCCTGAAATTGTTGGCTGGACGGGGGACCTCTCTACGCCAGATGACAGAAGCAGGTTTGTGGGTAACTTTGTAAAGGTTCTTTACAATTTGATTCCCTGGGGCTTCTGGGTCCTGATCGGAAACACCGGCCGCAATTTCTCTTTGAAGGAATTCTTGCTCACCCTCTGCGGCCATGGCGTCAGCTGGCAGGGAGGATACTGCTGGCTCAGTTTCGGGAAGCGCATCTTCGCGACGGTGAATACCATCAGCCTTGTGGTGGCGCTCAGCCCAGAGTCCGCTAGTAATGAGGTGTGCTGACAAGTCCTTATTGGCAGGCTCAATGCTCTGGATACTACGACGCTTGCTGGCCACGTACATCTCATCGTCAGCTGGAAAACCTGGGTTGAGTTCAGAGATAGGCCTTGGGTTTATGATTTGCGGAGGCTCAATAGGAACCGGCATGGCAATGGGAAAAGGCTTGAGAACAGGCAAAGGTCTGATGGGCTTGTCGTGACCAGGAAGGACCGGTACAAGATTCCGAGGACCGTTAAGATAAGGAAGAGCATGAAGCTTGGTATCATCTTCATTGTCCTCACTGTCATCAGCGAGACTCCCAGCCACTGACTCGACGACATTTGCCAGCTCATCTTCTGATCCCTCATCACGTCGCCAGACGCCCGCGGCGTATTGGTGAGCGACAGAAGGAGCCATAGTCGGGCCACAATACTTGTCGAACAATTCCCTGTAGCCGATAAGTATATTCCCGACAAGATCATCACAGAGCAGATCAAAACTTACATAGGAAAGCTACTCATTATACAGATTGGGCACGAGGCTTCCTTCTTTTCATCCCTATGTTCCATTAGGGTTGGTCAAGTCAAAATCAGCATGGGTTGTACTTACCAGGATAGAGCGGGGTCGTCACAGATGGCTGCATATCTTGCGACAACAGAAGGACGACCAGTAGGTGCTGCTAGAACTTGTGATGAGATAAGACTAGCAAGCACTACGTAGGCGAAGTATTGATGCGGCATTGCTGCAGTTTGCTGGGTATCCAGAACCCTGGAGAGAGAGATCGACAGGTCGCCAATTGAGACAGTTAAAGAAGGTGAATCTAGGAAAAGCTTCCAGTGAAGATAATAATCAGTTTGACCTGTTGATTCTGAGCGTGTTGATCTGGTGTGTCTCATGGCTTAAAGGTCGTCGCTCCCTTTTATCTTGGTCTCAAAATCTGCCTTGCGAGAAGATTCACGCAGCCCAACGTCATTACACTTCTTGCCCATTGTTCAAGATCCGCCTGAATCCCTCAGGCCAACTCTTTGGTCATTATGAAGCATGTATCAGCGTGAAATTTGAAGTTTTTGGCCCCTCGAAGTTTGCGCTATAGATTTCCTCCTTCTCAATCTGGCTTCATAGAGAGGCGTAGTGAAGTTGATATGCAGGTCTATGCAAGACCATGTGAGGCGGGCTACGAATAGAAACAACCCTGACCCGAACGTCAGGTTGAGACAAGCGCTGTGGAGAAGTCCCAAACTAGTGCTGCAGAAGCGATGTTCCCGAGTTCACGGTTGACGGTAGAGTTCCTTGGCGTTGCTTTTGGCCCCTGTCGTTTTTGTAGTAGAACGTCGATGATTAAGCGGCCAATACGATGACCTACTCCGAAAAATGGGGGGCCCGAAACAGGAGTACACTCTTTTAGAAGGAAATCCACCAGATATGAGGCGCCTTGTTTACAATAGTATTGCACATGCTTGGCAGAGTAAGCCAGGATGGGGCCAAGGCGCAATTTTGTCGTATCAGATGGCTCGCGATTTGAGCAGTAGCAACGCCCTATTCGTTGTCCTTGAAGATCGAAGTCATTGAGTTAGGCTGTGTAGTATTCGCGACAACTCAGGGCCTTCTAGTCTGATATCAATTATGCCGCATCTGGTGTCGTCAGGCGATTTCTTATCGAATGGCCCAGATGGATGAACCGATATCTCGGCAACGTCTATCGGCCGCGGTCAGCCACACTGTTCGAATTCGCTTGACCCATATATCTTCCTCAATGTGCGGTTCACACTGGGATTGTTATTAGCCACGCGTTCAGTAATCCACCTTCGAAAAAAAACGGGCGTGCGTCGTTGCCCCCCCAAAACCAGAATGTCGTCGCTCAAAGCTCCACGTGCAGCTACAACGGCTGCCCCGATCTCATTTGCGCCGTCACAATATTTCGAAGGAGATGATGGAAGATGGTCCACATTTGTAGTGCGTGTTGGCACACCCGAGCAGAGCTTTCGCGTCCTGCCATCTACAGTCTCAAGTGAAACATTTCTCCCCATGGCCGGTGCCTGCAAAGATGACGAACACATGAGCACGGTAGGTTTAGTTCGTGTTACGTATGAGATATCTTGACTAAGATCTTCCAGCAAGACTGTGCCTTTTCGCGTGGTGCGGAGATTTACCAGGGCCGGACAAACAATGGCTTCCAAGCCAATCTGTCCAGTACATGGCACGAGGTTGGTATCTACCAAACAACGAACCGTGAAGAGCTGGGTTACAACGCATCTGGTCTCTATGGCCTAGACACCTTGGGGCTAATGATCGCAAATTCCGGAGGACCCACTTTAGAAAACCAAACAATCGGTGCTGTGGTGAATCCACGTCTGTGGGTTGGAAGATTAGGAATGGACGTGAAGCCTAGCAACTTTTCAGATTTCGCGAATCCGCAACCAAGTTTGATCAAAACTCTGCATGAGGAAGGTTACATACCTAGTCTGAGTTATGGATATACAGCCGGCGCATACTACAGTGAGTCAATGCGTGTACATACGGAGTAGAAACATAGATGACTTACAATCACTATAGAACAACCAAACGTATATGGGAGCTTGACTTATGGTGGCTACGACCAGTCACGATTCACTCCCAACAACGTCACGTTTCCCTTTGATGCCAATGACAGTCGTAAACCTAGTCTGAAGATACAGGCAATAATAGGGCAAAACTTGGCTGGTGAGACTATTAGTCTGCAGGAAGAGGTCGTGCCGTATATGTTGGTCGACTTTGCAGAGCCACACATATGGTTGCCAGTACCGACCTGTGATCGGTTTGCAAAAGCTTTCAACTTGACATACGACAATAGCACAGACCTGTACTTGGTCGACTCTTCAACTCACGCAAAGCTGGTGGAGCAAAATCCAACCATCACCTTTGGACTTGGACAAACAGCATCCGACCTCTCGGGTCGGGTCAACATAGTGCTGCCCTACAGCGCATTCGATCAGCAGGCCTCTTACCCAATATTTGAGAATTCAACCAACTATTTTCCAATAAGAAGGGCATACAACGAGACTCAGTACACCTTGGGACGTACCTTTTTCCAAGAAGCATATATCAAGATTGATTATGATCGAGAGAATTTCTCCATCCATCAAGCGCTGTTCCCAACATCTGGAGACAAACAGGAAGTCATCCCAGTATTCAGTCCAACCGAAATATCGAACATCCAAGGTCGAAATTTACTGAGTAAAGGAGCGATAGCCGGAATAGCAATAGGCAGTATACTCTTATTAGCAATTGCATCATTTTTGGGACTCTGTGTTTGGCAGAAGAGGAGGAAGATAAAGATGCCACAACAGCCTGCAATAGAGGACCCAAGCATAGAATGTGAAGGTCAGCCCAGGATAGAGACTGAAGGCGCGGCTGTGTTTGAGAAGGATGGTTTGCCCTGTGCAGAGATGGAGGGACATATCTTCCCAGAGCTGTATGCCCCACATCCATTGCCAGAAAACAATATTCCAGTCATTGAGATCACAAAGGCGGATCTCAGTCCAATTTTCGAGTTGTGTGAGAGTACTGACAGCAGATCCCTGAGCGGTGGGGAGTCAGAAGCTGGGATTTCAGAAGAAAGGATGCGACTCCCACCAGGCTAGGTATGAAAAACATGAGAACCGCACAGTATGACATGCCATGAGATCATATCACTGCTCGTTGTACATTAGCAAAATGCGAAATTAACATAAACCATATGGTTTTACGTACATGAAGGTGTTGTGATGCTTCGCGAAGATATTCCCTACTCGTTACTCTGCGTGCTGACTCTCCAGCAACGATACCTGACTTCACAAGTGAAATCGTGTCTCAGAACATGCGTGAGGTCAGCTTCAAAGCGGAAGTGAATGTTACCAACACCGATCAAGACACAGAATAGTCTGAAAAGCGTCATGCTTTCGAAAGAGGCTGGGAACAGCAGTCGTACCAGTCCGGCACCGTCCAGCCACACTACCCTTTGGCTTTCCGAACCAGGCCGACAGAGCAGACATACCATAACTGCAGCAGCGAGTACCGGGTGCTGACATCTCGTACGTATACCTCTGCGAGGTACTTGGCTTGAAACACTGCTGCCGGCTTCCAATATGCAAGGGCGCAGTAATGATTAAAGCACCGCATGACTGCAATTAGCCGTATGGGATAGAAAGAGGTGTGAATTTAAGAATGATGATTGTGCGGATTACATTGCCGGATTAATTTGAACTGCAGAGCAAGGATGCGACGTTGGATTTAGGGCAGTTCCAGCGTCCCGCCTCGTACGTGGTACCATGCACGAATATCATCTATGCCTTGCAAAGAGATGAGCAGTATATTGCCAAAGACATCGAGATCGTCTGGCTGCGCTTCCTTCAATAGATTTGTAAAATCCAATCCCTTGACAACGAAGTGGTTCTTTGCGTTCCAACTCATGGCAAAATCGAAGGCGTTGGTAGCTTTCCACAAGTGCGCTGATAGCGTGATGCGAGATTTGAGTGCCGTATCTTGGTTGCAAGTTTTCATCTGACCGCTAAGGACCGTGTACATTACTGTGATTTGATATGCGGCCAGGAGTGTACGTCGCGCCGACTCTCGGAAGATGAATGATCGCCAGGCCGAATGAGCAGCTGTAGAAGGGTACAATGGGAGATCGCCCACATGCTCGTTCTCCTCAGCAGCAATTGGCAACAGCATCGCTCCCATGTCCTCCAGGTGAGATGCCAAGGCTTCGGCCTGTGCCCAAAAGCTGACATTGCCGCCAAATACAAACATGAGTTGGTACAACATGATCGCATGTGTTCGAGCAAGGATCTCGATTGGTGCATCGGATGCAGTTTGATTGATCATCTCCTCAACACGATTCCGGATATGGTTTGCGACGCGCTCAGCGTTGATCTCGTTTTTGGTAATGTAAAGAGCACATGCAGCGTGAGCATCTTGGAAACAACGGGGCATGTGATCATCGTAGAGCGTTGAGTGCATCCATGGTGTGCAGTTTTGCTCTACCATCGTTCTTGGTACTAGCTGCATGTGCTCGAGGAAATAACTCATCCTTGCCCTAGCATATGGGGACAGGTTCATCGACAAGAACTGGTTCTTCGACTGCGTTGGAGCCTTTTGGAGAGCTGTCTGGCTGTTGAAGTCTGGAAAGTTTTGCAGTGTAGCTGGCAAGGGCGTGACACAGGTCGTACTAGCCGGGAAGTAGAAATCCAGGGTGTCCGTGCTGGAGGTTGTAGCTACGGCAGACTCATCGAGATTGACATCGAGATTGAAATGTGCTAGGTCCGTAAAGTCTAAAGGTAGATGGGATTCATCATTTCTAGTATCGACATTAGCTGTAGAGCTCTGCGGGACTGTGGCGTGGATGTAAGGCTGCGATGGATAAATGCAGGAAAAGTGTCGTCTGATACACCGTGCGCAACCGGGCTGCTCCAAGCCACATTTGCGTTTGGATTTTGCGCATTCCGAGCAAGACTTTTGTCTGCCCTGAGAATTGGTGCTTCGTGTCCGGTCTGCTGGCATGATGTAGCGCCTGGCGTGGGTGATTTAAGATGAGGCTTTTGCAGGCGGCAGTACCGACCAACAGCATTTGATGGCCGGTGCCATTATTACTCAGCATTGGGTGCCTGGTTAAAGCCCCTGGACAGCACTGAACTCCGGCTATAAGGTGTTAGCGTTTGCAAGTTCCATCAAAACTTACCTATCTCCGTCGAGAACTAAGTACGTTGGTGCCCCACTGTGGATCTCTTATCGCATTCCAGTTGACCATTAGAAACGGCAAACATTGTTACTAGGCCAACCTTTATAGAAATCTTCCCATCAACATATTTCGAGACTGCTGCCTATTTTCATACATTGCTTAAACTCGGAATTTCTTTTATTGGGATGTCTGTGACTAAATTATTGCCCACGTTTGGCTGAGTCTGGGTGAGGTCAGCGTTACTCCATCACTGAGTGGAGCATGGCTCAATGCTCCATCATCAACATACATGACATATTACTGAATACCGAAATAGCAGTTTTTGAATATTCTTAAAGTAAACTTTAATTCTAAATATAAGAGTAGGGTAAACGTGGTGCATTGGCTCGGTTACAAACTATCGCAAATGGCTAGAATTCAAGACATCGACCACCAATAGGTTCACGGATGTTTTTTTACTGAGGTTCTAGAATCGAATTACTTTTGAGATGATGTGGGAAATGTGCATTGGTCTCTGCAACTAATGGGCTGATATCGACTAGGTCTGTTGTTTTCCTTCACTCCGTAACCCAGCCCCGCCGTCATGTATATGGTCTACCACCCAAGCGACACCGCTGTTGCTGCGCTCTGAATATAGCCGTCATCCTACAATTTTGAACACCTTGAAGAGCTAATCGTTCTTCGGTCTCCTGCGTGACTGCATCCAACTTTTGATGCGGTAAGTGACGTAGGCAGCTACCAGCATACACCCAATCATGAGATTCTCAGCAGCGTCCTCAATCTTTTTCGAGATATCCTTTGGTGACACTTGCGGCAAGAGCACCAAGCTTCGGTCATTTCTGCTCTTCCATCGCTTCCAAGCAGAAGTTGCAGCTGCAGTAGCCGCAGTAGCCAGAAACCAAACACCTCCAAAAACGATGGGAGCACCGTAGCCGCCCATCATCGCGCTTGTGCAGGTTGCAAACAGAGAGTGCGCCACAACATTACCGATACCCGCTTGAATGACAGCTGCGGTGCTGCCTGAGAAGAGTCAGAAATCCATGTCCAACATCTTATCTGACCATTGGATACTCACCAGCTGCGACGCCGGCAGGTCCAAATCCGATAGCGAGAAGGGTGATTGCTGTAATTGCCATAGCAACAAGGGGTACGACTATGAGAGCCGTCTCTTTGGGATGCGATTTGATCCAATTTCCAAGCTCTTTTGCGGCGCCGAGTATGCCTTTTTCCTTGATAGAGTGAACAGCAGAGCTGATGAAGTCTTTGACTTGTGATACAGCAGAGCTGACGTAGTCTTTGACCTGTGATACAGCCATCTCGACTTTGACTACAACAGAGTTGAATGCTTGTCGGCAGTATACGTTGAACGCTGCTGCAATGCCACCATTGCCTCTGGGCGTAGGATTGCTGCGCGTGCCGTTGCCCGGCTCTGTCGGGTTAGTGTCGTCAGGGAGATGAGTTTCCGAGCCGTTGTATGAGCTTCCAGCGTCGCTGTGCTTGTCGGCTTCGTCAAGGAGATGAGTTTCCGAGTCGTCGTCTGAGCTTCCAGCGTCGTTGTGCTTGTCAGCGTCATCTCCAGATGCATTACTAGCAGCTTGAAACAGGCCGAGGAAGTTATTCCAAGCTTGGAAGAATTTCGGACCGTCCATGACTGCAACTTCAACTTTCTATTTTGTCATGAGCGGGTTTCAGAGGTTGGAATGGAAAAATGAGGGGTTTTCAGGTAGATTTTGCTGTGCCGCGCGCGTGCAGGTCTCGTGGGGAGGGGGCTTGGCATTCACTGTTCATCGTTTCTCGCACAAGTATCGTAGAAACACGCTTAGCTAGCTATTCGTCAATCCCGTTTTCACTCAGGTTCAAGTTTTTTATGTAGTGAACAGTCTGTGAGGAACTAGATTGTTCCATGCACCAAAGAGATAGGGTTGAACCGAAGAGGCAACTGGATGTCAGTGAAGCAACTGTACCTCTTTACGTGGACCGAATTGTAGCATGAGTAAAAAAGCACGAACACGAGATGACCTGAGTTAGTGATGATGCGGGTTTCCTTGTTTCTTAGGGGTGATGTGGTTAAGTAGTCGCGAGGGTACAATATGACCCATTTTTTACAACCCACTTCGAAGTATGTGAGCGCTTAGGCTGAGGTTGCATCGTTCCGCTCACAACTTCCCAATTATTGGCGCTTTGGCTTGGAAAAATGTCCTCGTATGCAAGCGACGCTTGCATTGCATGTTGCAGTGAGATGATCTTCGCATTGATAATGTCGTTAGAGTGGCCTGCGCAAGTAAATGTTTGGATGGCCACGCGTGACATTTCGCATTCGTATGGCTCAAATTCCATGCTTTCTTCATTGGTTGAACCATGAATTGACACCCAAGGTCCTGTTTGGGAATTTAGGACCCTATCAAAAAAGATTCTAGAACCTTGGTGTGCTTTCTAAACTGGGTTCACAAAGGAAAAGACGTAATGGAGACTTTTACTATGGATCTACAAGATACGTTGCATTGAAACTTTGACTGAGTTTCCCATCATTGAGAGCAGAAGACAGTGGTTGTGAGACATTCGATGTCTCATTCAAAAGTTGTTTCGCGGTTTGCTCGCACAGCAAATCCACTCTGGAAAGACACACCATGACCAGTGGCAAATGTTTCACAGCGGCAGACTTACGCTGAACACTAACAGTCTAGGGTGGTTTCTGACCGGCATAGAGTGATCAGCCACATGATCAGAGTGCAGCTCAGCTTTGCCAGTTGAATTGATTGGCCGGCCAAGAGACAAAAACAATCATCATGCATGTGAGCAGTGGACAACTGGAACTCTGCAATGAGCTTGCAACATCCTTTGTCTAGCTAGCGATTGCTGTAGTGTAGGCCGAGAAGAAAACATGATGCGCAACTTTCACAAGCGTGTGACATCCAACTTGCTATATCCAACATTGCGGCATTATTGAAAGAAAATGAAAGAGAAAAGAGTGCAATTCAGACATTGGCGATGGACAGAAGGCGTGAGAAGAGATTGGTTGTTTCTCACAAATGAAATGTTGACACGAGCACTGGCAGGTTCCAGGGCTCGATTAGAATAGAGAAGAACAGTGATTGGGGCCCGCAGAATGCCGTTTCGACGCGATCCAGGATGTGCATCCTTCCAAGTGCGATTGGTGTCGTTGTATGGAAGCATGGGCTTAGCCGCCCGCCTGCAGGTGGTGGAGAGACCAGGCTGCACGCGCCAGCTTGTTTCCGCTCACTGAACGGTGTTTGCATGAAAAGCCAAGGCAGCAGAATAATGAACGTGGTAAGGTTTCTTTGTTGGACTGGAAAACTTGCTGCCTGCTGCGAGAGAAAGTGGTGTTGAACCAGGGATGGGGTTGTCTGGCCAAGCGACAGGGGTGTCTGATTATCGATTAGCGTCGGCGGCGTACTTAGCTGTGGGTCTGTTCGCCGCCGCCCCCGCTTTCGTTTGCTAACCCGCATCGACGCGCTGTTGTCTCAGCCTTGTGTCTTTTCGCATGTACACATAAGAAGATAACTTCATCTATCGTTTATTTGGACTATCGCCTTGTATTGACAAGACAAAAAAAATACACTGGGCACTTTTTGGTGTTGGTGGGATCCGTTTCGTCTACACCGGTTTTTCCAGTTCGAAAGCCTCACTCAGCCATTCAACCATGTCTTACGCACCCCGAGGCGGAGGCGATAGAGGCCGCGGCGGCGGCTTTCGTGGTGATCGTGGCGACCGCGGCGGAGGTCGCGGAGGTGGAAGAGGAGGAGGAGACTTTAGAGGTAGGGGTCGAGGAGACGGAAGGGGAGATTTTGGGGGTCGTGGCCGGGGCGATATGAGAGGTGATTTCGGGGGCCGGGGTCGAGGTGAGGGACGAGGTGGCTTTCGGGGTGGGAGAGGCGGTGGCATGCAGGAAAACCTGGCCTTCCCGTAAGACGAGCTGCCACACTGCCCATGCCGGATTTGCATTAATCTGACCTATAGGAACCCTCGTTCTGTGGACCAAAGGGTCTTGAATACCGAGAACACCTTGCATCCTCCTGCGAAGAAGACCCTCGACCTTAGTAGTCTGAGACTTTCCGAAGACTATCCAACCCGCCCAGGATATGGCACCCAAGGTGTCAAGGTTGAGCTTACTGCCAACTATGTCGAGCTTCTCACGCCGTCCAATATGGTGTTGTATCGTTATGCCATTGACATTACCCCCGAGGTTACGGGCAGGAAGCGCCATCGCGTTGTGCAGCTCTTGCTCGAAGCCCCAGAAATGACACAATACAAAGGCCACATTGCTACTGATTTCCGTTCAACCATAGTGGCCAAGACCAAGTTCACCAACGAAAGGGACATTATCGAAATCCAGTATCGTTCCGAGGGCGAAGACGACCCCGCAACGGGAGCCACAGTGTACAAAGTCTTCCTCCAATTCACAAACACCCTGAACGTCGGCGACCTGGTGAATTTCATGAACTCTACCAATCTCTCTCAGCGTTTGGAAAACAAGGGTGAACTGACTCAGGCACTTAACATCTTCCTGAATCATTATGCCAAGTCGGCTAACAACCTCGCTACCATCGGATCATCCAAGAGCTTTTCTCTTCACCAAAACGCTTCCAAGGGCGACCTTGGAGCCGGCCTGGAAGTCATACGTGGATTCTTTTCAAGCGTACGAGTTGCAACCTGTCGCATCTTAGTCAACATCAATGTTAGCCATGGGGCTTTCTACCGCACCGGCCCTTTGCCAGCCCTTATGGAGGGCTACGGTATCCGTAACACAATCGCCCTCGAAAAGTTTCTCAAATTGGTTCGTGTCCAGACCACACACTTGAAAGAAAGACGCAACAAAGCTGGTGAGGTCATTCCTCGGATCAAGACCATTTACGGACTTGCTAGGAAGGACGATGGACATGGCATGGAACATCGACCGCGGATCAGACAACACGGTGCCGGTGCCAGGGATGTCGAGTTTTGGCTGGATGGGAAAGATGCACCTGCTGCTAAGGGCAAAGGTAAAGGTAAAGGTAAAGGCCCAGTACAAGGCCCAACAGCTTCTGGATCCGGAAAGTACATCAGTGTATTCGATTTCTTTCGCACAAGTAAGCTTATCACTCGTCGCTTCTCCTTGGGAAATTTTGCTAACCTGACACCATCAAAGCGTACAACCATGTTCTCAAATACCCCGATCTTCCCGTCGTGAATTGCGGTAACCGAGAAAACCCTACATATCTCCCACCGGAAGTCTGTGTTGTGGTTTCCGGTCAACCTTCCAAGGCAAAACTAGATGCCCTGCAAACTCAGGTTATGATACGAAATGCAGTTAGAAAGCCATGGGAGAACGCTGAGACCATCTACAAGGAAGGAATATCAACGGTTGGCCTGGATGAAAACACCAACGTACTTCTGCGCTCTTTCGGCCTTACCATCACGCCAGGGTTGATCAAAGTTCCTGGACGTGTCCTGAAAGGACCAAAGGTAATCTACAAGCACGAGGAGGGAGGAAATGGCACCAAATTTGCCGAGCCGCGAGATGGTAGCTGGAACATGATCAAGATCAAGTTCAATGTCGGTGCTCAGCTGTTAAAATGGAAGGCCGTGATGATTGGACTTCCTTCCCGAAGGGACCCTTTCAACCAACCTGAAATGATGGCGATCATGCAAGAATTTTACCAGGGTCTGCGTAGAATTGGTATCGACGCGCAACCGCCGGCCCCTCCTGAACGACTGCAGCTTAATCATCTGGACGATCCTGCACTCAACAATTATCTCAAGGGGACTGTTGGTGCGAGGATACAACTGTTGTTTATCATACTCCCCGAGTCCAACATTCCTTTGTACAAGCGCATAAAGACACTCGCCGACAGGGATTTCGGCCTCCACAACGTTTGTGCTGTTGGCACCAAGCTAGCCAAAGAGAAAGGGCGGCCACAGTACATCGCCAACGTTGCTCTCAAATTCAATCTGAAGCTTGGCGGTGTCAACCAGAAGGTCGAGAACAAGAATCTTGGAATCATTGAACAGGACAAGACCATGGTAGTTGGCATCGACGTCACTCATCCCGCCCCGGGTTCGGCTAGCAATGCGCCTTCTGTTTCAGCAATGGTCGCTTCAGTTGACAAGAACCTCGGACAATGGCCAGCAACTCTCCGTATCCAAAAAGGAAGACAGGAAAATGTCGATGAACTTGCTGGGATGCTCAAGTCGCGCCTCAATCTCTGGAAGACAAAGGGTCGCCATCAAGCCTTCCCAGAAAACATCCTCGTATATCGTGATGGAGTTTCAGAAGGCCAATACGACATGGTGCTCACCGAAGAGTTGGCTCAGATGCGAAAAGCATGCGAACAGGTGTATCCGGCGACTGATACCAAAAAGGGTCTTCCGCGCTTCACCGTAGTAATTTGTGGCAAGCGTCATAAGACACGGTTCTACCCCACGAATGTGCAACAAGCTGATAGGTATGGCAACACACAACCCGGTACTGTCGTAGATCGCGGTGTGACGGAAGCTCGCAACTGGGACTTTTTCCTTCAAGCACACGCTGCACTCCAAGGCACAGCCCGGCCATGCCACTACTACATTGTGCATGATGAGATCTTCCGCCAGATCTATGCCAAGCAGATCCCTGCGCCATTCCAAAACATTGCCGACATTGTCGAGGACCTCACACATAACATGTGCTACCTATACGGTCGGGCGACAAAGGCCGTCAGCCTGTGTCCTCCAGCATACTACGCTGATCTTGCATGCGACCGTGCACGGTGCTACCTTGCTCACCTGTATGACACTCCCGCACCGAGCGCAGCACAATCTATGGCTGGCACATCGGTTACTGGTACTAGCGCTCCAGCAGCAGAACCTGGGTCTGTGGAAATCCATCCCAACATCCGCGATTCCATGTTCTACATCTAGAATGTTCATCGCACTGGAGCTTCGTGCGAAAAGCAGCAAACATCATTAAGACGAAACTGGCATGATTTGGAAGAAATTGTAGAGGAAACAGGCTGTGGTTGGGCGTTAGGGATGTCCGTCTTTTTGAATTGAAAATTCATATAGCAGCTGCAACAAGTAACTACATAACAAGGAACATACTCATTTCGATTCTCGTAAGGATGAATTGTACAAGATTTTGAGATGAATTAGGTGATTGCACGCGGAGAATCGAGGTTCATCAATATGCTCGCACATTGTACATACATTCGGAGTTAACGCCTCGGATATGCGATTACCAATACTACTACATAGCAATTGTTACCATGGCTTGTGAATCGTGAATCATGTTTCTCTAACTTCAAGGAGCCTCGGAATAGGTGACGAGCTTCCTTATCCTAACTAGCGCGAATCCTAATACCATTTGTGGCTTCGACGTCTACCTAATCCGATGACTCATGTATGGTCATCGTAATACTCCGACAATATAAGGGACATATGTTGGACTCTTGGATATTCGACAAAAGCAACTACCGTGCATCGCCATACACAAACATTACTCAGTCACGCAAAAACAAACATGCCAGACCCGAATTTCCACATCACCACCCCGCGACTCTACCTCTCCTACGGCGATCCCTCAAATGAAGCCCATATCGATTTCTCCCTGGAACTCATAACCAGCGCACCCGCACTCCGTTCTCAAGGCCCCGCAGGATCTAGCGCTGCAGACCGCGAAGCCGCGCGAAAGCGCATCGCCGACACCATGCTCAGCCTGAAAAACAAAGGTTTCGGCCGCTACTTCGTGTGGCTGCGTCCTGAAAACGACGACAACACGACAAGCCCATTTTCCTCGCGCACCCTCGAACCCATCGGATCCGTAGGCTTGCAACTCGCGCGCCTCGACGGGGTTAAAGCGCCCAGCATCCCGGACGTCGGCTTTATCTTCCTAGAAAAGCACCAGGGGAAGGGGTATGCAACCGAGGCTGTGCGTGCGCTGATGAAGTATTATGAGGAGGAGAAGGGGATTCATGTGTTTTCGGGGTTTACCAAGGAGGACAATGAGGGGGCGAGGGGCTTGTTTCGGAGGCTGGGGTTTAGGAATCATGGGGTGCGCATGGTGAGTGGGATTATGTGGAATGGGGAGGATATTGAGGCAGATACGTGGACTTGGGGGGTGGAGGAGGGGCATGGTTTGGAGGAGTTCGGGATTTGATGGGAGATGGGAAGGTCAAGTGGGTGGTGATGTGTGGCTGTTCCCTTCTTTTGTTCGAGATACCAGCACAAGGACAATAGATGTGCATTAATCCTTGTTATGATTGGGATTGTTCTGCTGCTTCTGTTGTACCATTTTATTTTGTTGTAGTGGGTTATGGCTGTAGAGATACTTTCATCCCGGGACCTCCCTTTGACGCTTCGATATCTCCATCCTTGGTATAGCTACTCGTCTCGCATTCCACGTCGACTCCATCGAGATGTTCGAAACCAGTAACGACATGTAAAATGAGAGTATCCCGTTCAGGGAAAAAGAAATTAGCAAAGTAGTACAAGAACATGGAAAGAAAGAAGCCGTAAAGCCAATTGAATGTGAAAAGATTCCGAAGACCCTCAGTAAGCCTCAGGTTAGGATTGACCTTGTTGGCTAGACCTGGTAGTAATGGTATAATTGTCACAAACATTGCTATGGCAGCCCGCCAGTTGATGCCATAGCGACCGTATCGATAGATGCCGCGCGGGTCGTACAAAGCGGGGACGTTGTACTTCCTGTGTTTGACCAACCAGTAATCTGTAAACAGCACACCTGCCATTGGTGCCATGAAAATAGCGTATGCGCTCATGAAGTTCAAGAATGCTTTTCCCGAAGCGACGATGATCCATGGACACAGCGCCCAACCACCCATGAAGGCTACCAAGATTGATCCTCGTCGCACGTTGAAATATCTCGGTGCTAGCGTTGTGACATCGTTGGCAAAGGACACGGCATTTGCGCTAATGTTCACACTCAGTTGACCAATCAACCAGATAGAGGCGCAAAAGAACGCTGCTGCTCGACCGCCTGGTGTGTTCATCCAAGTATCGATGATCTGAAGCGGTGTCCAATAGGCCTTACCCCAGATTTCCTGTGCAGCAGACGCGGAAACGATACCCATGAGAGCGACCATAGTTTTGAAAAACGGAATTACGGGGAGTTGCCAGTATTGTGCTTTGGGGTCTCTGCTGAATCGGGAAAAGTCGGGAATGTTCACCGCGAGTGTGCTGTAGCCACCGGTGATGCTAGTCATGCTCGACAACCACAACCAAGCTCGCTCCGAGCCATGCACAGCCGGTGGACGCGTGAAGAAAGTGCCATTTCCGCCAGCTCGGACAGCTACCCAGATGGTCATGCCGATGGCCACTGGCGGCAGCAATACTGTCTTAACCCAGAACATGTATTGTAGTTTATGGGTAGGAATGAGCAGGAACGGGAATTGGATGAGCCAGTAGAGGAAATACGAGATCATCCCAGCAGTGGTCAGACCAACCGATTCAGGAAGATGGTTTGCCATTGTACGGAAACTCGGCCATATCGAATTGACGATCTTTGGTCTCTTGTCAGATTGAAGCATTGGGGGCAATGATGAACGCGCAACCTACTGCAGCAACACATGTACCTCCATTCGCTGTTTGTACCCCGAACCAGAACATGGCCAAGACACCCCGACTGACGACCGCGAAATAGCTGAACCAGTATCCGAAACTCGCGCGCGATGCGATAGGGAAAGGGATATGCAGATTCGAGCCTATCGCTCCGTTGAGCACTGTTGGTACCGCATTGCATAGGGCCGCAACGAGCACGATCAGTACGGCATCGGTTGCCGTTAAACCTGGTATAATGAGCATACAACTATATCTCTTTTTCCGAAAAAAAAAGTTGCATACCGATTGTCAAGATGGCAGAGCCAGAACTCCAGGTCGAAATCGTTACGAGATCACTAAACCAGTACGTGATGAAAACACTTTTGCCCCATGTGCGTTTCTCCGGGGGAACGGGCTCCATATCCGCATTCGTCCAAACATAACTTGGGGCGATGCTGCTGTTTTGTTTGGGCAACTGCCAGCTCGACGGCTGTGTGAGACGCATCTTTGCCTTTTCTTTTACCGCATGACTGCGGTTGCGGAGGGAGGTTGCGAACAACATAGTAACGGTTTTCGCATCGAGAAGATGGAGTATCTCAGTCTATATCCGCACCGAAGTCGCATCGTCTTGATATGGCGTCGAAAATAACCGGAATGCTGGCTGGCATGTTGAGTCGGCAGTGGAGATAGTCGCGCCGCTATCAAGCCCAGTCAAGCGAAAGATGGGGCTGGTTCTTATCATATGCAGCTTGTTGATTGGGGCGTCAACTGTTGGGCTGATAGTTGACGAATCAAGACGTTTTTTTTGCATGCAACTGCGACTCTGCAATCGTGAGAGAGCATAGATAACCGTTGCATGTAGGGAAATCCGGATATGTTGCTGGGAGTGTGCCAGTGAAGGCGTCCGCTCGATTCCCCCCCCCCCCC